TCTATTTTTTTTTTTTTAAAAGCGTGAAAAGCATTCGTTGTTGGCAAAACTTGGTATGAATTGCAGGTACCACGCAAACGCTTTCGTGGCTTCTCGGGCAATAACAATAGTAAATGATGTTGTCAGCACTTCATCTGCATACCTTCTATTAGAGGCATTTTTCAATAATCAGGTAAGCCCGAATTTTTACAGTTCCGTTTTTTCTTCTAAATTGTTCACTGCTATTATGAAATACATGGTCAACTCTTTCTGAGACTGAGAGAAATTAGAAGTCTAACGTGAGAGTTTCAAATTTTTGGATCCCAAATCGAGAAAATTTATTTTGTCTGCCATGATATTTGACTCATTTATCTAAGCTCATATATACCAATACAACTCCAACTATAATTGTTATAATTTTGGCTTAACTAAAAAGAATTCATGAACTTTTGCATTTTTTATTATTTATAATCCCAAGCTTTTAGTTGCAACAATTATGTTCAAGAATTCTTCAAGCATTGCAATTCGATGCATTTCGTTTTTTTTAATTAGGTACCGAACACTGATGTGTCATGTTAGTTTGTTAGTTATACAGTAATTCTATTATGTATTGTAGGGTTAGATTTGATTAAGGCTCAATATAAATGAGACCTACATTTTATTTTATATATATGTACATACCTTTGTAATTAATACATCATACATTTTTCATCTAAAACCCATAAATATATGTAAAATACGAGTTATTGGCTAATAAATTGCTCTCAACGTTTAATTAACAAGCTCATTTAGCAATGAATGATGCTTGGAAAAGTGTCTACTCATATCATTTTTCTCAGTGAATGATGCTCGTAAAATATACCATGTGTCTCTAATTAAGATTTATTTAACGAAAAATTTTAAACCATCTAAAACCCATAAATATATTTAAAAAACAAGTTATTGGCGAATAAATTGCTCTCAACGTTTAATAAACGAGCTCATTTAGCAACGAATGATGCTTGAAAAAGTGTCTACCCATATCATTTTTCTCAATGAATGATGCTCGTAAAATATACCCTGTGTCTCTAATTAAGATTTATTTAATAAAAAATTATAAATCATGTCTTTTTGAGTTCACAACATAACAAAAGATATGTGGAAAAACTTGTCTCTTAATCGTTGATTAGATAGGGCTATATAAAGCTACGAGCTGAAAATGGGTAGAAACATGCGAAGTAGAAATTAGGCCTTGGACGAGAGCGTCATGAAGAAAGTGGTAGACAAATTCAATTTGTTTGGTGCGCTCATGGACGACAAGATTAGCGGCAATGTGGAGAGTCGTCTGACTGTCGTAACGAATCCTCATCGGCTGATAGTGCGCCACACCAAGACTGCGTAACAATCCTTATAACTACTTCAGTTCACAAGTAAGTGTCGCCATAGCACGATACTCAGCCTCGGCGAAAGAGCGTTCAACAGTGTGCTGCTTCATAGTATGCCAAGATATCAGAGAGTGGCCAAGCTGTACGCCAAGATATAAACTTCCTCAGTCAAATCACCGTGCACACCTTTGAGCTGTCGCAACAGCGAGGAATGTACGGACTTTGACCAACTTATCTTAGCAACTTGAGCAAAAGTCTCCTGATAGTCAATCCCCTCCACCTGTTTGTTACCTAAAACAACCAAGCACGCTTTATAGCGCTCAATAGTTCAATCATAATGATATTTAATTTTATAAATCCACTTACAACCAATTGCGTGCTTGCCGGCAGGAAAGGGCACAACATCCCAAGTATGTTTATTCTCCAAAGCGTGAATTTCAAACTTCATGGTAGAGCGCCATCGATTAGATTTGAATAAGATAAAGGTGTACCTGAGGTGATGATGAGGCATGAGAAACAGTAGGAGGACGAGGGAACGACGGTATGAGACACAAAATCAGTAAGCTGAGAGAGCGATGCTTAACTCGACAACCGCAACCAAGAAACTCGTTGGGAGCGGTAGCAACCCCTAACATCGATACTACTAAGGGTTTCGAGAAGTAGAAGACACAATGTCATGACCATCATCAACAGACACAATAGGCCAAGTGTCGGGTGTTTAGTAGTATTTTGGGGATTGTTGATAACTGAGTATCCAACTCGAGTTGTTCTCAAAGGAAGACTATTCAGAGCTTTGTTCGCTAATCAATTGTTCAAAACACAAAACGAGAAAGCAAAACCTAAACATTCTAATCAATGAGCATGAGGTTGAATAAACGCTAAACTAAGCTATGAATTGCGAGCAATTTAAAGCAACTATCAAATGAGAGAATATGGAAATTAACACTACCAGAGTCTCTATAACATCGACACAAAATACAAACAACTAAGAGAAATATGCAAACCATAAGCTCTAGGTCATTAATACTAACCTTCTAACCCTAAGTGATTAAGCTCTAATTAGAGTCTCAACCCTTAATCTAGATAGGCAAGCATTTAATCCCTACAATCACTTAGGCAAGCAATAAAAACAATAACATCCAAACTTTCCATCCTCCATCAAGCAAACACCCAAATCTACTTTGATAAGCATCATAAGTAAAAACGAGGCAAAAACGAAGTATTGAGGTTCAAAATTAAATACCCAATCTTCTATTGCGTGCTAGACGAGATTGAGATTCGAAAGCTAAGAAATTGAATGAAAACGAAAATGTCGGAAAACTTGCTGGAAAATGATGTCATAGAGCTTCAAAAGAAAAATAGAGAGAAAACTTAAAACTAGAGAGCTATTCATAAAGTGGGAAAGTGAAAAATGAAATCTAGATATTCAAAATACAAAGGGCTAAATGAATTTATACTAAGTAGCAAAAACATGCACTAAATACACACATATAGTAACCACACTCGCCCAAATTCTGCCCGGTGAAATCTGGGCGAGTGTAAAATCTCATAGACGACTCCCCCAATTTCCGCCCGGTGAAATCCAGACGAGTGCTAGCTTCCTGGGCAAAGTGTCCGTCCGCCCGGCGGAATGCCGGGCGAGTGCTCACGTAGCCTCGGGCAAAATTTGGTTCAATGCCGGGCGAATGCTCGGGATCTCGGTGGACATCTCTCGGGTCTCTTTCATTGCACTCGGACTCCATGGGAATTTGCGCTAGACATTCTCAGAAATGGACGTAGATGACATGCTCGGTTTCTCAACTCGCGTGCTCGAGACTCGGCTCAATTCCTCCTCTTTCAAACTCGAACAAACGGACCTATAAGACACTGGAAAGTACGCCAAAAACACAAAAACATCAAATACAAATAAAAACGCGCGAAACAACTAAAATGGACCGGTTAAACAAGAAAATAACCTAGAACTGACTCAGCTAAGCACATAAAACACATAAAATTAAGCACAAAAACACAACAAACATCGGGAGAAGTGAAAGGAGCGACTAGTACGCTAGATTTCGAGAAGTGGAATTCAGTTTCACTGAATTCTACGTCACGGGAGACAAAAAAAGAACCATTATCTAAGTCATATACACACCATCCCTTTTTACCAACCAGATAAGTGACAAACATGCATTTACGACTCCGACTGGCAAATTTGTATCTTTATAATGCCTAATTATGTACATAACACAGACAACCAAAGACTCGTAAATGGGATAAATCATGACTTTTGGCATACAACATTTCATAAGGTGTTTTTTGACAAAACAGAAGAAGGTGTATGATTAATTAAAGATCCAGCCGCTAGCACGCAATGCCAAAAAATTCAAATGGCAAATGAGCCTGAAAACCTAAAGCACGAGCAACATTAAGAATGTGCTTGTGTTTATGCTCGACTCGCTATTTCGTTTAGGGATTCCAGTACAAGAAGTTTCATGAAACAATTTTTCACGTCAAAATAGTCACGCATGACGGTAAACTCAATCCCATTGTCACTAAGAACAATTTTAACGGTTGTGCTAAATTGTCTTTTCACCATAGCAAAGAAAGACATCAAAGTAGAAGAAACAACACTTTTATCGTCCAACAAATAAATCCAAGTACCACGAGAATAATCATCCACAATAGTTAGAAAATACCGCGCTCCACAAAACGCGGGAATACGAGAGGGTCTCCACAAATCACAATGAACTAATGAAAAGATGTCACTGACAGCATTGCGACTAATAGAAAGCTAGCACGCGAATGTTTAGCCTTATAACAGACATCACATGATTTATTCGACGATGTAACACCAGAATTAATAAAATGAAATTGCGTAAAAAAATAGAGGAAGAAAGATCACCCATCTGTTGATGCCATAGATCAGTGGAGACCGTCGTCACTCTAGAAGCCGTCGCAGTGACCATCCTTCGAATAAAATATAATCCCACCAACTGTTCACCCGCTCCAATCACCTTCCGCGTAGTGAGGTCATGAATAGCACAAAATTTGTTAGTGAAGGTAGCCACACATTTATCTTGTTCCAATAACTGATATTATGAAATCAAGCTACACCGAAGATTGGGAATGAAAAGAACATCATAAAAAATAATATGAGTGCCAAGTTTAACCGTTCCAGCTTGACTGGGAGTAGTAAGAGTGCTATTAGGCAATTGGACGAAACTCGGAGTAATAATTACGATATTAGAAAAATTCCCAAAAACCTGTCATATGGTGGGAAGCACCGTAGTCATACATCCAATCAAACGAGCTACACTTACTGGAAAGAGGAGAATTATTACGAGCCGAAGTAAAAAGGTTGACAATAGACTCCCATTGAGCATTGGTCAAACCGAAAATGGCTGCGCGGTCCGACTCACTTAAAGTCAATCCACCGACCGAGCCGAGCCCTTTAGACGAGCCATTGTCATCGTAAAAATTGGTCGGACAGCCGCAAAATACTGCATTAGCTCGCGCCTGCCAAGCCCTCCCACCGCGCTTGCCGGTACCCGTGCGGCCACCACCTTTGCCGGAACCACAGCCGCAGCCGTTCTCGATTCCCCACCATTCTGGATAGCCAATTGTTGAGTAGTTTTTAGCGGGATTCAGTTGATTACCGAGTTATCTGAACTCGGGTCGTTCTCAAAGGATGACTAGTCGGAGTTTTGTTCGCTAATTTGTTGTCGAAAGCACAAAAAGAGAAAATAAAGTCCTAAACATACTAACCATGATTGAGGGGTTGATTCTTTAACTAGATTGAGCTAAACAATTGAAAGAAATTAATAAAAGATGAAAGATTAGAAGAAAGCTCTCGACTTCGCTTGCACCAGAGTGTTCAAACACGAGAACAGACTCAAAATAAAATAGTGAGCCATATATCGTGCATATAGAACTACAACCGGACAAATAATTTCGAAATAACTAACCTTTAACCAAAGTCCCAATTTTTCTCTCAAAATATTTCAGCTTTAATCAACCAATCACACTCAATAAGCAATATAAAAACAAAACTTAGCATTTGACCTAGAACTGAGCTCAACACACAAATTACGAACGAGTGACTAATTTTACCTCTTAAACCTAAGTAAGCAAAACTAAAGCAATCGACGAGATAATAAGTCCTAACACTAGGTCCTTACTTCCCTATGCATTCCCGAGTGCAAAAGATAGAAAAAGGTTGGAACCTTAACTATGAACATTCTGGAAAGAAACTAAATTCACCTCTTAAAACTAAGAGCAATAAACGAGATAATAAGTCCTAAAGAAAGGCACTTACTTCTCTATGCATTCCTGAGCAAAATAGATGTAAAAAGATCGAGTCTTAATAAAAACGAGCATCACCGAAAATATCGCCAAAAAAGTACGGGATGAACCTCCAAAGTGGTGTCTAGAGAGATAATATAACTCAATGCGAGCGCTACTGGGTCTCTGGCGCTGGGTCGCGCGCACGAAAATTCTGGGCGCTGGCGATTGCGGTTGGGGTCTGCTTGCGCTAGGGACTCGCGCGCTCGTGGGTCATAGCGCGCAGCGGGTGCTGACGTTGGCATGGATCCACACTCGCGAGGCCGCAGATGAGCACACTGGTCGTGAGTGTGGCTACTGGAACTCGTGAGCTCACGAGATAGGTGGCGTGTACGGACTCGAAAATCACCCGAGGCAGCTCGGATGTCTCGAAAGACTCAGATGGCTCATATTCCTAAGTTGTAAAATGGACCTACACATCACCAAAAGAGGCGAGAAAAAAAAAGGCAAAATGCAAAAACACAAAACGAGAACAAAAATACAAAAAACATGATAAAATGGACCGGTTGACACTAAAACGAACCTAAATAGACTCGACTAAGGCACTAAAATAGCATAAAAAAAAAACCACAAAACACAACAAACATCAATGACCTCAAAGCATTTGGCAGCAACATGGCCAGTCTTGCCGCAGTTGAGACGTGAAATTTTTCACCGAGCGTCCGTCGGCTGCAACACTATGATCTGCCATGACAGTTGCTGCAATTGGAGCCCCACCAGCAACACACAACTGAGGATAACTGCGCCGTATCCAGGGGCAGCGCCTAAGACGCTGGAGACACTAGACTTCACCACAAAGCTGGAGGTTCGATTGAGTTTTGGTCTTAGAGGGTTGTACGCATTCGTTCCTCCCGAATCATCATAGCGTAAACTCGATTGAGGTTCGGCATGGGATCAAGACCGAGGACGTATGAGCATGTTGGGCCATACAGATTGTCATCGAGGCCCATCAGAAATCGATTATCCTTCACCTATTATCGTTGTCAATCCCATTTAGTCTGATGGCTGCACGTGCACTTGCCGCAGCGACATATAGGAGATTGCTTTTAGCCTGCAAGTTCATCCCAAAGTTTTGTCATCCGATCGTAGTAATTTTCGATGTTGCTTCCCTCCTGCTTGTACATGGATAGATCTAGTTTGAGTTTCTGAAGTCGGGGCCGTTGACCATGGTGTTTCATTCACGAAGTGCAAACCATAAATCATGAATGACATCGTGTTGAGAGATCGTTGATCAGATCATTGATTGATAGTGTTCATGACCCAACACAACAAAAGATGGTTATTAATGAACAAAACCTCATATAAATATATCATCCCGAGCTGAGGACGCGAAATAGATCCATCGAGAAAATCGAATTTCTTACGAGCGCTGAAGGCCGCGCGCAAACTACGAGCCCATTATTCATAATTTGTGTTGCCTTTTAATTGGACATGAGTGATTAACAATCCGAGATTATCGAAGGAAGAAATATCAAACGGCGAGATGGATTGTCGGGCGACAATCTCGCCATCTTGTGTCGGACTTGAGAACCAGTCTCTGCCATTGTCTG